ATGGGCTTGAATTAAAGGCATGCACCAACCCTGGCTATTTGATTTTCTTTTATAATATTAAGAGTACTTGCCTGGCATGGTGGTACCCTTTAATTCTAGCATTAGGGAGGCAGAGGCAGGCAGATCTCTGTGAGTTCGATGTCAGACTGGTGTCATAGTGAACTCCAGGAAAACCCGGGCTACACAGAAACAGCCTGTTTAGGAAGAAAAACAGGACTGAGGGTCTTTTGCCAGATCCCATATGTGTATCTCAGATCCCCTCCAATTTATCCCAGTGTGTACTGTGTTTTCTGTGTGTGCTTTAATGCAGACCCTGGAAACAATACCCTATGCTCTCTCAGGCAGTCTGAGTGCTTAGGAGGAACAGGCATGCTTCTACCCACGGGGCATGGGAGACAGTACTGACTTTGACTTGGCTGAGTGGCAGTGGCACATGCCTTTAATCTCTGGACTTGGGAGGCAGAGGCAGGTGCATCTCTGAGTTTGAAGCCAGCCTGTTATACAGAGAGAATTACAGGACAGCCAGGGCCACACAGAGAAACCCTGTCCTTGAACACCCACCTACACACACCAAAAAGCTTAATTTCCATTTCTAGTTTAAAAAAAAAAAACAAAAAACGAGCAATACCAGAGTTTGACTTTAGAGAGTGTGTGTAAATGATATTGTTTCATTTCCTTTGACTTCTACCTCATGGTCTCAGTATGGCTGCTCTAGCTCCAAATATCACCTCTACTTATGATATCATCCAAAGGCACAGAAAAGAGACCCTCCCACCAAAAAGAAAATTCTTCTAGAAGCTTCCTAGCATTCCTCAAAATACAATTACCTTAAACAAACCATAGGCAGAGTGGAATAGGATTACAATGACTGGCCGTCCCTAGGCCTGGATCTATGTTCTCTGAGCACTGTGTTAGCCATATAGCCTAACACAGTCAGGATTCCTATATCCAGGAAAGCATGATGACTGTTGAAAGAACAACTATTTCAGCCAGTCTTTCTTCCTACACTCTACTGTTAGATTCAAGCATGTCCTGCTTGGACAAGCCTCACCCAAAGCCTATACAGTAAAGCCCAGGTTCGACCTGTAATTAGGTGTTCCCTCCCTAGTCCAGCAGACAGGGTCTCATTTGCCAGGACACATCTTTCCTTCATAACTC